CCTCATCTAATTACTCGTAGCCTGGTCGGTATCAATTCTCCTTTACCATGCTTGTTTGCACCACACTTTCAGACGGTCAGAGGTTAGTTATTCGGGCTGAAGGTGTCTTATCTGGTTGAACATTCTGATTCAAAGTACACGTCCAAATAGTGAGGAACATTACGACCGACGAATTAGTTCTAAAACCTTTGGTTTCTTTCTTACCACCTTAGACCTGTCTAGTACTTGTAGCCTGATGAACATTATTCAGAATCTTCAACATTACTTCTACTCACTTTTTTGGGCTTGCGTGTTTCTTGAGATAACCAGCTTGGTGTTCCACTCGCTCAGAAAACCCGTTCGACCGTCAACCGCGTGTTTAGAGACGGGAGCGCGCTGTTTGGAAACGAGCCTTCCGGGTTTTCTGCAGAAGGTTAACGTACTCCTAAACAATAGCACACCGTATGACGAAGGTGGGCGGAGAGCAACATCGGATCGGCATGCCAGTGGATTGACGGCAACATCGTATACCATTGTACCTGCCACTGACAAATCATCAGCATCGACAGCATGACATCAGTGTTCAACACCGATGCTTCACTGCCGTACAACCATGATTTATTTGAAAGCCTTATTGTAAAAAGAGGTAAAGGTAGACGGGAAAGGAACTTAGTGCTAGCTTACCACAATCATTCCGAAGTGCCTATACCTCCAGACATTCACTCAGGCGATCTGGATAGAAACTGACAACAAGAACGCTACTGACATCGGTTGGCAGCCATATCTTGCAGTGTCTCTAACTAAGCACAGTGACTATCACGCGGTCCCCATCCTCGAATGCAAATGGCACCGACAGCACCCAAGCATTTCGTGATTCTCTTCGGCAAACGATGGTTCGGCATACGTAACACATGTCCCAACCAACGCAGCTTCTGGTGCTGGACACATTCTTCAATGGAAGTACCCTTTACACAACCGAAAACACGCTTTCTAACTGCCTCGTTACGGATTCGCCGACACCAACCCACACGAGCTATGGTTCTGAGACAACGATTGTCGAACACCTGAAGACATCTCAGTTTCCCTACTCGAATAGGCCAAGTCTCACAGCCATACAACAAAACAGCCCGTACTGTAGCTTCATAGACACGTCCCTTCAGACATTAGGCTAGAGGTAGGTACGCCTACGAAAAAAGGTTTGGATCGTTACACCATAGGACGCAGACATTAACGACCAGTATATTCTGTACTATACGGGTCGAACTTTTTATTTTCCCTCACATATACGGAGCGCCATTTATTTCCTGTCGGGTGACGGCATCGGTTTCTTTATAACTCGTTTCGTCAAGACTGAAAACCGAGATTCGATGAGAGACACCTTTTGCGAATTATCTCCGAACCCCAGACCGTTATTTTTGTAGATGATGACCCTGCGGTTTGTACGGATGCTCGCAGCGGTAACAACACCATGAATACAACTTCAACGAACTTGTTTAACGTCCCTAGCACAACACCATGCTTGGTAATCCGGTGATCACAGTTCTTCCGTGGTTCTATATATTCCCGTTCGCTCTGACACTCACGATCGATAATGAAATACGTAACTGGCTTCACTTAGGTAACTTTACGAAAACAGTAAGGTGCATTGAATTCTTTCCAACCTGGTGAATGGTGGAGATGTCAAACTTTTCCACATTCAACTCACGATAAGGAAGCGGCACTTTGCGTAAGCATATGGACCCTTATCGTTCGGTTTATCCATGAGCAAGCCTTTGGTAAACAAAATAATCTGCGTGACTGTTTTCCAGTTTGTATCAGCTTCCTGTTGAACTGTTCGGCGCGCCAAATGACTATGAAGCAACTTGTACTCGTTCTTGTGTGGGCCATCAGCTCTTGTTTCTGCAAACTGTTCTCCTTCCATATCACAGCTGTGTAGGACGTCGGAAACCCACTGGTCTGATTAATACTCATTGTGCGAAGTATCAGCTGAGAATGTGTATCCCTAATTGATGGTTCAATCACTTTTGTGGGTCGGCCGTCCTCTCCTTGGTCCTCACCTAAAAGCCAGTTGATTAGAAAATGCGGATTGTACTTGGTTCCTTGTGAGACAGAGTTGCTTTATCCAGGGAAAACCGAATGACATTGTGAGAAGCTCCCAATCTACTACATGGTATTCGTGTGATTGACTTCTTTCCCCCACAAGGGGCGACGCTAATGTAAAGACCCAGTAGACCGGTTTTCTATCGAGGGCAATGTTGGTAGCCCTGGTTGCATAGATGGCTATTTTGTTCACTGACCTCGTCACCAAACGAGGTGGCGTCATCAGTGCGTAGTAAGTTATCGGTGTGCCCGTGTGTAGCCTGCACATTGACGCACTGATGATGTCAACTCAGATGGTAGCGAAAGGCTTACAACCAAATTATCCAGCTCAGCGAAGACTAACAACGAAGCTCAGTAGTGAGGATAGTGATTTAACTGTCTTGTATTAAGTACTAAGGCGTGGACATGCGGTTACATGTGCGGTTTCCCTTCAAGAAAACGCTCTCATAGTTCACCCACTTAACGAGAGGTACCACCTCAGTTCAACGGTTGAAGGTTTCTTTGAAATTACAAGGTTTATTGTGGGGAAATTCCATTTCACCAATTGTGGAAATCATTTTTGTCTCCTCGTGTCCCTGGTGAACGAGCAGAAAGCTACCTTCATGTCTCAAAGTATCCACACGTTGATCTCTGGAACATTTGTCATTTGACGAGAGTATATTTTCACGGGTCAAAAAGGAATTTGAAAGTTTTTTCGCACATCCTATGATTCGGTCTTCTGATGGACAATGTGTCACCTGCCGGCTGAAGTTTCCACTTTTCTAGTGATTGTGAGCATTCGGAGGACACTAGTGAGATCAACCAAAATGCCTATCGGTCTCATTATCACGCACGGTAGGTTAGGTATCTTTTTTGCGACCTTCAATCAGTCAATTTCTCAGCTGTAAACCGTGTACCACAGGCACATTGCTTCCAGCTGCTACAGTTTCGATCATTGAAAAACGGGAGTCTGGGACATACAGCCAAGCCTCGGAGGCGATGGCATGTTCAGTTTGTTCGGAAATTGGGTAGCTACTCGTTGAAGGCGACAGCTTTGGTTCGCGAGCGTCACTGGCTACGCGATTGGACCATTTCTGCCAATATCATTAGCCATTCGTGACTTAAGTCCCCGCGTCCCCATCCTGAGAGGCGGCACTTGCGACCCCTAATTGGTGCACTGATCGGTGATGCATTTTTATAGAACTGGAGGTGGAGTAAGCTAAGTGAATCGAGTGGTGTTCATGTCTAAATTTGCTCTGTCTCTGTTTGTTGGCTAAACACACCAGCATATATCTTCCCCAGGTAAATAACATTAGTGTATGTATGCTCGTGTGTGTTGCATTACTTCAAGTATTGATGTAGTGGATAACGTAGAAAAGCAGAAGCAGAATTGTTGTTCGGTGTGTTTTATCGGATCGAACAAAATTTTCTTGCAAAAATGTCCTCTGCGTGATTTGCTTCATTGACCATCTTTAATTCACCAACGCCCAAACCAACTTTCCAGGAATGCTTAATTCATTCATTTTCAAAAGTTTTTCAGCCTCGTTTGTATTGTTGATCCTCCTGTCATAGCAAACTGGTTGAGTGTTACTTTTCACGGCTACTTATTTACATTGATTGGTGCCGTAACAATGTGCTTCTGGCCGATATCAACCACGTTGGTTCTCAGAACATCGTTTGTAGCTAATTTACCGGATTTTTGCACATCTATGGTGGAACGACCACTCAGTGAACACTTCCTAAGAATTCGCGATACTTCAGAGATTTCTCCACTGTTGTTATCGTTGTTTTATTGGAAGTGCGGTGATTTTCCGCCATCACCGGTCGACCACACAATTATGGTGAATCGACCGGTTCCATTCACTTGTCCACCGGTGTTTGTTGTTGTGAATGCGTACTCTTACCCCGGCTTATCTGAAAGTGCATGCTGGTGGTACAGCCGGGTTGTGGTGAAACGTATGTACTTACAGAACCACAATCGTTTTAAACTTATTACCCGAACGTAAACTACTGCGGTCACTTCGTATGTGAAGCTGTGTATGCACTTGTAGGTATAAATACACTGGCCTTTTTTAATTTACTGGGCTATCGGGTTTTTACATTCCCTTCTTCAGTCCGGCCTTTGATAGTCGACCTGTTTGTAAGACCTGATTGCCTAATAGGGTGATGCGTTACGTCAGTGTTGAAATGCATCAGTTATGAAAATCTGTTGATTCATTGGTTAACTTTCGCACTTCAGAGAATATTGGATTGCCTGAGTCACAAGTACTTGCTTATTCATGTCTGTTAGAACATGCACAGTGTACCCTCGTTTGTCTTCACTTAGTGTGGCGGTCCGCCTGGCTTTCTCCATCCATTGAGCTTGTACAAACTGACTTTCTACGGCGTTCCTCTTTAAACCGTCATCTGTCAAACATATATGTTTCATTCCGTCGTACGAACCTTGTGGTAAAGCGCAAGTTGTCGTGGTGACATGGGTACTGTTGCGTCAGCATTTGAATTACTCATCATACCGCTGGATAACATCTACCACGACGGTTCCAGTCAAGAGCTTCAATGAGGCCTTGACAAATAGCGGAATTTCATTGATTTTGCTTGATCTATTGACCAGTCAATTCGGATGATCAGGTTTGAAATACTGGCTAATCCGGTAGTGGCGAGGCAGTGCTTATGCGTTGAATGACACCTATTCACAAACGAGTTACAGTCTTTATTGCCTCATTTGTGGTCCAAGTATGAACTTTTGAGTTGGCCTTTTCTCCTCTGCCCATGACATCGCCTTCACAAATTAATGGAAAGTTCACCTTTTAGAGAAAGTGACCGAGTCCATTATTGCTAATTTGGAGATGTTGTTCAGTATTGCTGGTTGCTGTGTATGGTTGTAATGGACAATGGCACGTGGTTTGTTTCGTCCTGAGTCATACAGACAAGCTGAAGGCTTTTTAGACAAACGGTCCTTCCAAAAGTTCCAAAGTGGGGGCATCAGCACTAGAGATAATCTCAGCATTCGGGTGAACTATCGGACTATTCTGAATCGAAATGCGGCAAAATGAAGGTTTTCAGTCGAGGGTCCGTTGTGAAGGAAAGATTAAATCGACGTGATCCTGAAAAGCCACGGAACATTCATGTGCGACGTGAATGACTCTGGAAGAGTAGTATTGCTGTTGATGGACAGAAGAAAGCAGCAACGCTACTAATGCAGGTTCTCCTCGATTACTTCAAAATACTCACAATCAAGAAACTATAACACGCCTTCAGGTGGGACACTCTAGGAGTCGTTGTCCAGCTGACCACACTGAGATATCATCTTCAAACAATATTCACAATTGTTAGGAGACCGTGGGGTGCCTAGTTGGTTGAAGTTTCGCGAGGTGGATCACATATGGAAAAAGAGGGGTCGCACCAGCCAGCTAAAGACGAGTGCGAGTAACTATAAGTGAATGTCCGTTTGGTGAACAAATGGCACGGCAGTGAACTGTCAACATTACACACCGTTTCAACAGCGTCGGTTGACTCTACTGAGGTACTCCGAGATTGGATACAAGCTAGTGTTTTTCTGTACCAGCGTAGCTGACAGTACACTACACCTCTGATTCGCTGATAATCTCAGCCCACCCCAATGCCATCTGATGGTCAGGCAGGTCTAATACACCCCTGCGTCTTGGTTATACAGCAAACAAGGGTAGCCAACACTTTTCTGAACTCCCTTTGTGCGGGGACCACACTGGGACAGGGTCGAGCGCGCAAACCAAACGAAACCTCAATGATGTCATCCACGACGGTTGTCCAGGCACTGGACGGTTGTTAGGGTCTTCTAACTTGTCTAACCCCAGTGACTTTGTAATTGGACTGAAAATCATGAATTGAAAGTGAAAGCCATCCCTTGGAATGGCGTTTGCATTACGAATAAGGGAGGATACCACCAGGATACCGTCCATCCTTGGTTTCACTTCTCTTCATTTCACTAACATCTCTTTTCGTAGATTCTTCAGGGATGTAGTCGTTATTTGTGAGGATTATTCTAGTGGTGTGGCATCTGTTTACAGATATGCATGACTCGTCGAGCTATACCATACCCTGTGCACAATGGTTAACAACAGAGTTTATGAAAGTCGGATTGAGACCATCTAAACGCCCATTACCTCATGACGGAGGTAAGACCAGTAAAAGAGCGGAGAACATACATATAGGTAAGGTGAGTAAAACGCAATGTCTACGAGGGTGAAGCATCAGTGTTAAATGCTGACATGATGATGATAATAATGAAACGTCCCATCAAGACATCTTATAAATCTGAAGGACTGGACAGGTACTGCACTAACCTAAGCCTAAGACCGTAGGCAAATCTGAGCGGGATCGGAAGAAATAGGATGTGGAGCATGGCCAGAGACCCATTAATCTTTCATACGTGTATCTCACGCGGGAACAAACTATCTTACTTACTCACACAAAACAAAGCCTGGATCTTCGCTATCCATAAAAATTCTTTAAACTTGTAACGCACACTTTTGGAATGAACAAACTGGTAGCGTACTGGACAAGCTGAGCGCATAACTTTCCGTCTATTGAGGGAGGAGTTTCGGCTAGGCTATATCTCAAAATTAAGTCCATGGTTCAGACTGAAAGAACACCTTCGTCGGGTCCTAGAACTCAACAAAAACTTCACGAAAGCAGCTTAAATCGGTCCTCTCTTACGCAACCAGTTGACTGGTCTTTCTAGGGCAGGACAACTATCTTATCGACCTGGGCTTGATGAAGGCAATACTGGCAACTTAATACGTTGTAAAAGTGACACTTTATATCCCATTTCTAACCCAAATGACGTTTTCGGTTGCATTCAGGGGAGGAACAGTCCATCCAATGTAATTTACCATTGAGATAAGTCGTTTTTCTGTACAAACGGCTCGGATCTACAAGTCTATTTATTATACTGTGCAATACACAACCGTCTAGTCTATTAGACTCGTGTTAAAAAGATGAGATACACAGGCAGCCTAAAGGGCATTGACATAACATTTTATGTTTCTCTTACTTAGTGTCAGGCTTCTTCCAAATGTACATACAAACAACAATACACACGCTTCTATGAGAAACATTGAGCAAATTTACTAATGTGACAAAGAATTGTGTAAACCAATTTCTACAAACACATTCATATTGACCAGGCATCACAGATCCCGACAAACACAGCTTATTAATCAACCGGTGTAGATTCTATGTGGGGTGTATTGGATGAAGACTGCAATGTAAGTCAGTATGAGCAAAATACTAGGCTAGTGTCATGAAAACACTTTTTTTCAGCAGTTGTTTGGCAGTCTTCGATAAAATCAACAGTCTGCGTATTCTGGGAATCAGCTGAAGGTGTCTATTATGATCCGACTGTGGTGCAATACCAAAACAAAAGTTGGAAATTCTGTCAAACTCCAAGAGATGCGATCGACTGCCAGATGTGATGAATCTTGTATTAATCAGCAGAAGTCTCTGTACTGTTGAAAAGATCGTTCGCTGAGTCAAACTACCACAGAAGGTTTGTTATATAGCTCAGATGCGTTTATAGGAGGTCGTTATGCGCCAAGAAAAATCAGAAGGGAATCCGGTTAGTTTATTCAGTAAAGATGAAGCAGGTTATCCCTACTGGAATAAGAGCAGCGTGAATACTACTCAGAGGCTACGAAAATGCACCCGTATTTCGTTTTGGAAAATCGGACGCCGGATTGAAACGTTTCCAACAGAGTCAATAAAACTCAAGAGTATCCCCCCGAAAAAAGCAAAGGTTTGACAGCGTCACCAACTTATACCTGATCAACAAGACTGAATTTATCCTCAAGTTCACCGTTGTTATTCACGTTTCCAAACAGAAAACTCTTGAAATTTCGATTACCTGGCCGAATGTTTATTTCATTCATTCATTTTCATTTTGTTTTTCATTTATTTTACTTCATTCCATACAGCTCAAGCACGGGAACATAAAGGCCAGTACACGGAGCATCTTTTCAAATTCGATAACAAATACTTGAGTAAGGGTTAAAGAATAGCAAGGAAGCTGTGTTGATAACTATCCCATACCATACGACTAAACGACAAATTAATTACTTAAGCAGGATCACTCTATCTGAAAAAAGACAAGCTGATACAGTCGCATCTTCGAGTGACTTTGTCTAAATCAATGGCATTGTACTACTAACATTTGGATGTCATGTGGTCCTCAAAATGCTCTACCTAGCAATCAGGTGTCACTAATTTGTTAGCTAATTTAATTTTCCAATGAGAGAGGTCGGACTCGTGTTGTCCGAGAGGCTGCTCCCCTTTTCTTCACAGTAGCTGAAGGCTGAAGTCAACCAGAAACATGATTTTCTAACTGTACAGTCGATGTGTGAGGAATAGAAATCTAACTGCTTTGGGTAGCCTGGTAGGTATGTGTTCCTTCAGTGTCTTGCTTGACACAGACTACTGTGCATTGATCAGTGATCCAAAACTGTCGAAAGGGCACAGTCCCGATTTCGGACAACGTAATACCCACTGAGTTACCACTTATCGCGCACAGGCATCACCGCACACACGAAAACAGTTGCGCATGAAGACACGCAGGAGATTACTATGATTACTTAGGCAAATGAACCTGTAGTTCATTTTATTTGTTTCGGCAGGACTTTAGAACAGTTGTTTGATAGAAAAGTTTTTATAACATGTAATGAAGAGTAACATTCGCCTCCTTATGGTGGTAAATCTCCCGCCTCCAATGCGCAGCTACCTACCCCCCCCCCCAAATCGTCGGGGAACGAAACTGTGGCAGCTACAACCACTGTACTACGAGTACGCGGTTATTACAGTTGACAATGATGATGATGATGAGGATGATGATGAATCTCCATGGTCTATTTGCAGAGTGAGATTTATCGGAAATAACGAGATCGGTATAAGGGCTTCCCAGATTCCGCCAAGTGAAGTTCGGCTCCCTCAGAGGAAGTGTCATGCAATTAAACCAACTTTTCCGGCTATCGAATGTATAATTATTATTCACAGACGTTCCGAAATCAGGTAGAACTCAAGGATCGGATCGCCACTCTAACAGTGGACTCCCTTTCAGTTCAGTTATTAGGCTATGGGCCGCGTACTATGGTTCAGTGGTTCCAGTTGCCACAGCTTGGTGTACCGAGAATGGGGAGAATAAGGGAACGACGACCGGGCAGTGGAGAAGATGGCCCTCCATTGCCGGAAACTTTCTCCATCTGACTAATAAAGCGAGGAGCGAGCAAACTATGGAACCGCCACTGACTGCATGACAAGACCAAATCCCTCAGGTTTGTCTCAAAATGGGGAGAACGCAGTTGCTAAAATGAAGCTTGGTTATCTGCTTGAAGCATTCACTTTTCTTTGTCTACTCACGAACTAACCGCTCCTGGCTAGTTTCTATCCCACGTCTGGCTGGGTGTGGAGGGCTTTGCAGGAAAAATGTCCACGGGTGTACAGGTCACATGGCTTAAGGAGCACAACCTATGGGGCGTGAGTGGTTGTTTCACACAGGAGGGATTATTTTTTAAGAGCCACCAGCCGTATCTCGGATTTAATGATTCGTTGTTGCGGTGCTCCAGAAAGACAATAGATCTAACATAGAGTGTTGAAAGATTTGCACACAGCGGCCTCATTTCTCATAAACAGTTGTAGGTTAGGTCGTGCTGCGGTAATGTTCAAATTGGTGTTTGTTCCGGGTCATGAACTATCAGAGGTTGGCAAGCACTGACTTAAGCTCCTCCAATCCGGGAAGAGTTTTTAATTTTTGGCCAATCCACCTGAACTTGTGAAGCTACCCAGATAGGTGAACTTATCTACCGTATACATATCGGTTTATCTGCGGGCATGAGGTTTGTACTTGATGCTACTCCTCCCTGTAGTAGCATCTGAAACCGCGCGGTAGAACTGATCAGGTTATTTAACATATTTTCCATTTCCAAGTAATCTGATCCAAGGAGAGAGATGATTGGATCGTACTTAATCTCACTGAGCAAAGGCCTCGGAGGGGGGGGGAATCGATTCCCGAGATGTCAGTCGCATACGAAGCTACTTTAAGCTGCACTTCGATATTGAAGTTGAAGAGGAGGGGTGACGGGGGTAGTCTTTTTTGATATTGGATTTAGTGAACTCAGATGATGGCTTACAGTTTATATGTGCGCATCCATGGGAGGAGGTATATAGAGTATTTTTGAGATGCCAGAACTTAAAAGAGACATAGTCCATCGTCAGACTGTCGAGGTATTCGAAAGCAGCATGTTACTGAAGAAATGTGATCGTTGATCACCGTTTGGAGTAATGGGACAATTAATTCAGTCGGCTGAAAGTGGATATATAATTGATAGAACCTAGGTCCGATCGGTGTCCAGTCTGACTCTCAGGAATCTGTCATTTCTGATGATGGGTCAACCGGCATACCACCCGAGAACACCTTGGGACCTAGGAATACTGATCTAATGCCCCGCAGGTGCTCGTACGGCGTTATTTGATCTTTTTAAAGAACGGAATAGCCGTCGAGGCCTTTTTGCTATCGGCATTCTATGATCATTCTACCCATTTTAGAGTAAAGTTCCCAAACTAGCTTCCATCCCTCTTTGCACTAGTTGATGGGATTAGTTGAGTTAAGGTGTGCCTGTTCAACCTTGCAAAGACTTCCCCATCTGCCTGGTTTTCGCCGCCCACAAGTGTACCTTCATTGTCGTTTGCTGATGGTTGAGTCTCCAAGGTGTCGATGACAGCTCCCGGTCCTACAGATATTCGGTGAGTGTGCGGGCGACTCCAGACAAACCATTTTGAAAGCTGTAGGCACAGCATCGTTCATCTTTTCACTCGTTCCCAAGCTTTTTTTCAAGCCAAATCAGCTCGATAGGATTTGGAGACTCTTTTGGAGTGATAAACGGACCACGAAGTGTCATGGTCAGAGTCAGGATGTATACTCCAAAGGGAAAGATGACTTCATGGGTCAGCTGAGTTCACTGCACGTTTGCAGCCAATCGTCCCTGGATAATGCCTGTGCTTAAAGTTTGAACCGCTTAGGTGTAAACCAAATGCGTCACATAACTGAAAACGTCAGTCTCATAAGCTCACTAAGATGGGTCTCTCCTGGAATAAAGCATCCGACCTAGGCATTCATATCGCTACTAGCATCAGATAGCCAGTGCTATCTGATTCTCTAGACACTTGCGACGAATACCGCAAGAAATCATCTTCCTCACCACCGACAAACGAATACCGTTTGCCGTGTGGAGATTAACTTACACTGATTGAGTCAAAGAGCAACGACAACCAGTACTACCAGACTGAGAGATAGATGGATACGATGAGTGACTGTATCAGGGTTGTCAGGCACGTGAATGGTGAGTAACGATAAAATGGATTCATTATCTTGAGAGATTACGGGTACATGACCAAAGTGGAGTCTTGTAGGCGTGTCTGGTGTAAACAGCACACGTCGATTTGAAGCGAAGGCAAATTATGGTCCCGCTTGCTGTATACTTTGAGACAGAGTACGGCGGAGTTGAAGATATACCTTGAATTTTTTGCCGCTATACCTACAGGACCTTGGCTTGGGTACGTGTCGCACACTGGGTGTTTTTGTGCTTCGTTACTGGGAAGAGAACTAAAGTAACACACTCAGATTGTGACAGTTCCTTGTCCTCATGGTACGGCTAGCACATACGAACTGGTCTTGTTTGTGACACAAGGAAAGCAATACCCTGCGATGGTTTTTTTCTTTTTTCTATAGAGGAGAATATCGGTAGCTCAGGTAGCGTAGATGGTCGTTGGCTTGTTCGTGATTGTGGCACAACCACTAACCTACCGCTACGCACAACTACGCACTGGTGATGTCACCTCGATTGGTGATTAAACGTTTGCAACCAAATTGCCCAGGTCAGCGAACAAGCCAACGACCACACACAAGCTTGTTTGTTACGATCTTAATTCACGGGATATGCCTTGATGAATTCTTACTGAGAGATACCGGCACCGGTTGACTTCAAATTATGGAGCAGGAGAATTAATCATTAGAACGAGGTAGCAAAGAAGAGCCACGATTACAAAATACCCTGGGTCAGGTGATGCATACCTACGCCGAATACAATAATCAGATACCGGTCATTCATACGCCAGATATTTTCTTCAAACTAAACGTTATACAGCGAAAGTATCATCAAGTACGGGAGGCTAAACCTTTGATGCACAAAACGATTCGGTCGACTGTGTAGATGATATCCAGTTCGGTTGTTGTAGATCGCATCAAAAATTCCCGAATGCTCTTATATCCAACCGCAACATCGCATCTGCTCTTACGAAACTCAAATGCTTCGTCATCGGAGCACCCAACAGACAGTTTTTATGGTCTCACGTAAGCATGAAGGTGACTAACTATGTCACTCTTCCATAGGGCTCTTCTCTCCCTCGGATGCACGTTCTCCCACATACTGTCTACTAAATTGAAAAATTCCGAATCACTGATGGAATGTAGCCAACTGTGACCGCGGTTGGTGAGTTGGCCGCTTCCATCGTCTATGGTGCAAGGGACCGATGGAGGAAACCGTGACAGACGATGTAACATTAATCACAGTGACACCAAATACGATCTGTATCACATGACCAAATGTCACAGCAGGTAAACGATGGAATCCGTATAATTTGGGAAAATATACCGGCCCCGCCCGTAAAATCAGTGGTACAACTAACGATACGCGGGATGGGTTCGTCGGCGAAGTCGGTGCAGCCGCAGAGAGTAGGCCCATAGCGAAAAATGCTAGCAGCACTCAGATTTGAACGTGTACTTGGAATAACTGTGATTTCCCGTGTTTCACTCATGAAAGCCATACTTTTTCAACTGAACAGTATGTTAGGTACTCTTGAGGCCAGCATCACTCTTCCTTAGAGTGCTTGAGTTTCCTGGTAAGTCCAGTAAAAGCTAAGTATTCAGGCCAAAAACTTGTATACACCTTGGTGAAGAATACTAACAGAGGGCTATCAGCGACTAGTTCATGAGGTAGTCAGATACATGGCAAATATGATTCCACTACGGTCGTTTATTGATGTATGTTCAATTCGTTACCACTCAAATTAAACTGATTGAAGCACTTTTGAAACAATAAGACATGCAACCGTCTTAAGCCCCCATTTAACTTGTGTGGGCCGACGGCGTAAGAATCTGTTGACACTGAAGACTTTTGGAATAACTCATATACCCTGGGTTTAAACCTAATTTCGAAAAAGTTTGGTGACAATCGGTAGATTTATTGCTGGGCAACGTTCTGCTTTTGACACAAGAGCTTCGTCAGGCCAAGTGACTAGGTTCCGAAGTTGATCGAGATTTAAGGCAACGATTGAACCAAAGTTTACGTAGGCAAACTGTCAGGGAATCGCACACCAGAATTGGTAGGCATAAAAGAAGGATAAACAAACCATCAAGGAATGCAGAAGAAACGCTGGTCAAGGACTCACCGATGGCGGTACATGCCTTACACACGGGACATAGAATAGATCTGGAGAATATGGAAGTTTTAAGACGGGGACTGCGATTTACACCACAGTGGCTAATAGCCGAGGCGGTGGAAATTGCTAAGCAACATAGCGTGAGTAGAATCGAGTGTGTAGAACTAGCGAGTGTATGGAAAGCGGTCTTAGATAAGCCGAGTTTACACGTGACTGTGCGGTTGTCAATCCACGTAGAATCATTACCAAAAACGAGGGTGGGGGTGGAAATCCCGACCCGACCAAAGGTCACAGCATCCCTACTACACAACTACCTTAGCACTATCTGTGTGATGTACTATTCATAAGGTTGCTGAAAATCCATCGACAGCCCAC